AGTGATTTTATTTAACATGTTAAGAATCCAGGCTACTTCCATGAGATGAAAGAAAACTGGTGAAATTAATGCCTGAAGTGCCTTTATTTAACACGTTAAGAATCCAGGCTACTTCCATGAGCAGAACTGCGATTTTATAATAACTTCTTACATTTACTGAAGTAGAAATTTAAGAAAACAGTAGATAGTAAATATTTTTACCCTGCCTGAATCATAGACAAACAAAATGCCCTATGACAAATACTTTCAATCTTTAAATAAGGTTAAATTTTCACAGGAATTATTGCTTACATCCTTAGGTTCAGGTGGGACTTGAAACTAAAAATCATCTTTTCTTTTCTAACAATAAGTACTTGAGGCTTTCCAATTCTTCTCCATCTTGCTTTATCCAAAGGTCCTTCCTCCCACCACAAAAGAAAGGTGTAACTCTTATCCTGTTTATGACTTTGGTTGACTGGTCCAGACAGTAAAATCTGGGGTCCAGAGGAAGGAAAAATTCCAGTCCTAGAGAGTGACATGGGGCAGAGGTTCAATGAGAGGCTTAGGTTAGAAATACTAGAGGGGGTTGGGCGCTGGTAGCTCATGCCTCTAATACTAGCTACTCAGGAGACTGAGATATGAGGATCGCCGTTCAAAGTCAGCCAGGGCAAGAAAGTCCATGAGACTCTATCTCCAATAAACCACTCAAAACCGGAAGTGGCTCTGTGGCTCAAGTGGTAGAGTGCTAGCCTTGAGCTGAATTGCTTAGGGACAGCACCCAGGCTCAGAGTTCAAGTTCCACGACTGACCAAAAAAAAAAATACTAGAGGGGCATGACCTTGTTTCATATGGTCAGAAGCCTCTAGCCTTGTGTTTCCTAAGTTTGAATTAGTAGTAGGAAAGTTAGATGTCATGAAAGGGGATTTATTTAACTTACATTGAAGTGAGATCTTACTTGACAAAGTTCTGTTTTACTTGATTGGTTTGAAAATGAGAACTAGTCATTTAAATTAGGTATATGATGGACATTTTCTATAACTTGAATTGGCTTTAATGCAAAGCACAGCTGAAGAGAGAACTAGAAGAAAGCTTGCTGTCTGTGGTGGCACATGCCTGTGACCCTAACTCTGAAGTGAGTGAAGCATGAAGATTGTGTTTAAGGCTAGCTTGGGTTTCCATAGTGAGACTCTCACATCTATACTGTAATTATTTGAGGAATTACTGCTCAAATCAGGCTTATCTGTTTTTTTTATTTTATTTTATTTGTGAAGATACTGTACAGAGGGGTTACAATTACATGGGCAGGATAATGCATACATTTCTTACCAAGCATTGCAGCCTCCTCCTTTTGTTTACCC